TAGGGTTTTTACCGCATTTAGTGACCGGAATAACACACGCGGCTTTCTGACGCTACCTGCCGTGTGCATCTAAGTTTCCGGGAAATGCGGAGGGTTTTTTTCCCTCATTCGCCGTGCGGTATCAAACATTGCATGAAAAATGCACGCTTAGAGCAGTTCCTCGAATCAAATATCTCGTTTGTCGCAAGGGGCATGAATGAATTCCCTGAATGAAAGAGCCAAACTGCAGTTAAAGTCCACCATTTAATAATTTGGCAAATAATTCGACTACAGATGTCCATGTAGGTTAAACACCACCACTTTCTCCTGTCTGTGTATTTTTACTCTGAAACTCGCACGTTCCCAAATAGACACTCCCACACCCTCCCACTTTAGTTCCTCCGACACTCCCCCCTAAACAGAGCTGGTCACGCCCACTTATCTGACTTTTTCCAAAGTAGAGGTGTGAAAACACCCTGCTGAAACGAGGGGGTTTCATGGCCCTTTAAGGCAAATCCAACCATTTAAGGAAACAGATTGCTACAAACCATTTGAGTTAAAAAAACGAATTTGAGTACTGTGAACTTACTCTATTTAAGTTGAAGTAATGAGGTGTTTAATTAACTCATTACTTTCAACACTGAGTTCAAAACTCATTTCAAATGAGTAAATTTTGAGTAAACAACACTCAATTCATTTGATAAAGTTGACTGTTGGGTTTTACAGTGTATTTGTTTTTCCTACCATGGACATATATGGTCACAGGTTATCAGCTTTTTTTAAAAGATCTAATTTAGTGTTCAATAGAAAGTTATAAAGGTTTGAACTAATTGTGAAAGAGTAAATGGATAAATTTTCATTTTTGGGTGAAATATCTCTTTATTAGTATTATCGTACAACCCATGAATAATTAGTAAATCAATTAATCAATTAGTTTTAGCTATATATCAGCCTCACTAATAATCAGTAATGGTCTTCATCTTTTTAAAAGCTGGAGATCATCTATATCAATTTAATCTCATAGCTCTGGGAGACAAAAGACTATCTGTGATTTCCTATTCTGTGGTTTGTTTTCAATGACCTGTATTTTGCACGGATCATATAGATGAGATCGGCTAAACAGCCGCTTACATAAATGAAAAATGAAAACGGCAACATAATGGCCATGTCAGATAAAGTGATGTAAAGGCTCTATTAGGCTCTTCACAGAGTAGCGTTTAATCTAATTAAAGTATGCACGCTCACAGAGCACCTCTCAAGAGTTGCCTTCGCTCTTGCCATTCCGAAGGGTTTTGCATATTTCGATTCCTGGCACGTTTTTGAACAGGCTTATATTGTAATCACCTTTTCTAATTGCCCACGGTGCAAGCTTGCCTGAACCCCAGAGACTTCTTTCTGACCTACACAGTGTACTTAATGTCCCATTACCACTAATGAACTCTCTTTCCTTTGCTAAAAGGAAGTTGGAGTTAGACCTACTCCGCAGGAAAGGACTGTTAACATGGAACAACTGCTCATGTTCTCAGTGCTGGCATTCAGAATCGTTCATTTGGCATATGTGGTTTGTTAGCCCATTTGTACTGCAAGACTGAAGTAGAGATAAATTCATTTTAGAAGCATTTTGTAGTTGTATCTAGTTTTATTTATGCTGAATCTGATCTAAACTGTTTATTAAAGGGGCCCTCTTGGGATTTTTCAGCATCCTTTAATGTGTGTGCACTTTCCCACCAGGTAATTTTGTGTTTAAGAAATGTCTAATAGATGTCTAAACATAGACTTCTTAATAGGCTATCTAATGGAACAACATAAAAAATGCCATGTCAAAAACATTTGATTTGGTGTTTGTTGATTTCTATCACCGGCATTAAATAAAGAATAAAAAAGAATTATTACAGTCTTGTAAGCGATTTTTGGCATGTTTTTTTTTTGGTCAATTTGATGTAATTTTGACATCAAGGTAGTTTACATGCAATATGATTACAAAATCTAGTATAAATTTGTCATTTGTAACTGAAGACTACAGATTAATAACCTTTTTCTTATATCATAATACTTTTTGTGTTGTTGTTTTAGTGGTCAAAAGGGCATCAGTGTGTGGGTGTCAAATTGTCATTCATTCATTCATTCATTCATTCATTCATTCATCCATCCATCCATCCATCCATTAATTCATTCATTCATGTCTATTTGATGAGTAGTTTATTTTTAGACTATTGTTAATAAATTTTCAGTGTTAACCCAAATTTAGGCTTGTTTCAGCCAAGATATCTATGTTTAGATATCTATCTATTACATGTCTATTAAACAACCCAGGCTCATTCTGAAAATGTACCACCAAATATGTCCCAGGAGCTATGTTTTTTTTTTTTTTTGCAGTTTTGTTTTCATGAATCCGACAGTGTTTGTGTATACTTTTTCAGATCTCGAATTTCTCTTGCGAGTACCATACATGCCTGCTGTTCTAGCGTAAATTCACCAGGGGCCAGGTTGACTGACTGAATGACTGACCAATTGACTGACCCACCCTCCTCCTTCCCTAAACCCAACCAATACTGTTTTCAAAAGCACCACTTGACCCGCCTACCAACTTCCTAAAACCCAACCAACTGTTTTAAAAGCAATCCAGAAAAAGAAAAGCCCTCGCCTTATTTTTACATCGTTTTCAGATTTTACCACATTCTCACCCTGTTATTTATTTATTTATTTATTTATTTTTTGACTTCTGTTTCTGTTTTACCTGTATTTTGGAACTGTTCTTCGATGCACTCGAACCTCATCGTCATGGTTAACTCCTCTCTGCATCTCAAGTCCACCAATGTATATGGCAAGCTAACTGGACAAACTGGCAACAGCCGGGAAACTCGTCTATACGGAGGTACTGTAAGTGCTCAGCTGGTAAGCGCGAAAAGGAACGGCGTAATGCCGCTCTATAGCATTAGTTTTAAAGTCAAAATCCAGCCATATGCACTTCTGGCTACATAATTTGCAATCTCCAGAAATGTATGAAGGGCTATGTTTTTTAGAATTAGTCTATGTTGCTATTAAACACACAAAAAAATGTTTGCAGCTGTGTGTTGAGAAAGCCATACTGTGTGTGGATTTCTAATTGGCATTAAGGTTTTGGAATCAAATCGATTTGCATTTTTTATGTGTTTTTTGACTATTTTGATGTTGTTTTGACTGCCCACTAACTAGTCATTCGTTCATTCATTTAGGTCTAATTGATGAGTAGTCTATTTCTAGACCAGTGGTTCCCAAAGTGGAGGTCGCAAGAAAGTCGATGGTGATTTTCAAAAATCTTATATATCTTATTAAACTATTAGAATTACCATATTTTATCCATAACATATTTTATACATTTAATAGTTACATAAAAAACAACATACAAATAAAAAGCCATACAAATAAACAATATACGAATAAAAGGCTATAATTAATAATAAATTAAACAACATGTCAATATGCTTGTGTTTATATAGTTCCTATTAGTGTGTATGCACCGTTGTGTGCAATGTTTGTATAATTATAACCAATTCCGAGGATAGTGGGGGTCGCGAGTCTTTGGAATTGTTATTTTGGGGTTCATGGGCTGAATAGTTTTGCCAAATTTAAGCCAAAACAACTATGTTTACATCTATTAGATGTCTTTTAAACACAAAAAGGGTGTGACAGTGTGATCAGATGGGGTCAGCACGATGGCGCATTGGGTTGCACAATCGCCTCACAGCAAGAAGGTTTCTGATTGAGCCCCGGCTGAGTCAGTTGCTGTTTATGTGAGGAGTTTGCATGTTCTCCCTGTGTAAGCGTGGATTTCCTCCGGGTTTCCCTCACAGTCCAAAGACATGCGGTACAGGTGAATTGAATAAGCTAATTAGCCATAGTGTATGTGGGTGTGTGCAAGAGTGTATCGGTGTTTCCCAGTGTTGGTTTGCGGCTGGAAGGGCATCCTCTGCCTAAAACATGTGCTGGATAAGTTGGCGGTTCATTCCGCTGTGGCGACACCTGATTAATAAGCGGACTAAGCCGGAAAAAAAATGAATGAATGAATGAATGAATGAATGAACGTGTGATCATAAAGCCGTACTGAATATCAGTAGTTTAACCCAACAAAGCTTTAAACCACATGCAGACATTTCGTTTGTTGCTGTCAAAGTTACCAAAGCATGAGTCATAAAAGCTCCACCCTCTTAAAGAAAGAGGCAGGCAGCAGTAGCTCATTTGCATTTAAAAAGACACACATGACAGCATGGCTTTGCTTCTCCGTAAAAAATACTCTTTATAGCATGGTAAATTATAGTTTAAACAAATATTATTAATTCACTTTTTTACCAACATGGCAGCTCAGTGGTAGGCACTGTTGCCTCACAGCAAGAAGGTTGCTGGTTTAAGTCCTGGCTGGGTCAGTTGGAATTTCTGGGTAAAACATATGCTGGATAAGATAGCGGTTCATTCTGCTGTGACGACCCCTGATGAATAAAGAAACTAAGCCGAAGCAGAATGAATGAATGAATGAATACATTTTCTGTATCATTTTAAATCACGTAAGTTTAAAACTTGTTTTATTATGTTGGAGCTGTTGCTAGGATTTCACAATACAGTATTAAGAGTGTTCTTGATGGTTGTTTATTAAAGAATCTTCAATGTATTATGGTTTCCACTAAAATATTGAAAATATATCTACTAAAATATACAGTTTTCAACTTGTATAATAATGCTAATTACTTACACTCTAAAAATGCTGAGTTGTTGCCCAACCATTGAGTTTCTCCATATTTTATAGAACTTTGGGTTGAAATAATACAGCATTTCTTTAAAAAGTGCACTAAATAAGCATTTTTGAATGATTTCTTGTGACTTAACTTTAACTGTGTTACTGTGGTTTTAATATACTTGTAATACTAAAAGTTAAGATGGTTGCCATAGCGAGAATGACCAGCAAGATTTGCACACCTGATTGAGGTGTGAGGTCAGACCAGCAGTTTAAGTGCCCACTATAACATAGAAGGAACATAATTACTCACCTTGTAGAATCGGATCAGTTAATTTATCTTCTACCGTTAAGTCCAAGCCCAGAGTTTGTAGTGACGATACTGCATTTTTTCCTTGAAGCTCAGATCCCTCTGGGTTCAGGCTAATTTTGCCACCTTCTTTATCTTAGAGAGTACATATGAGACCAAAATAAAATACAGTGACTTTGTAGTTTGCAGCAGACTTCAAAAGTCAACAAGGAACTAATTTCAAGAGAATTTGTGGAATGAATCTCTAGAGAAGGTATCATCTGTCTGATTAACATTTCTAAGAAACTAGTTCTGACTTTAAATGGCAAATGCAAAATATCAACACAGAGCAACTTGAAAAGTGGTCTTCTAAATGCCACTTAAAGCTAAAAAAATTTGTATAATTTGTATAATTCAATCCCCTCCTTTATATATATCTCGTTCAGAAAATTGGGCTATTTTTTGTACAGAAATGAAGCTTTTATTCAGCAAGCACACGCTAATTTAATCAAATCACATATTTTCTATTTTGACTAATGTTTGAACTTCCTATTGATCAAAGAATCCTGAAAAAAATGACCATGGTTTCATCTTTTATAAAAATGATAATAATTAAATTAAAGATTAACAGTAACAATAAAATTCAGCCACCACATAAATAAATGACACTTTAAAGCAGTTATTATAAATTTCAGTATTTGTGATCAAATCAGTGCAGCAGTGGTGAGCATAAGAGACTTCCTTTCCTTAAAAAAATGGAACCAACCCCAAAAGTCTGTATAATCTAATATATTAAAGGCACCTGTGCAGGATTTTTCTCTCTTCGTATTGTGGATCCTCTGAGGTCTCCTAGAGCTCGTTCGTTCAGCAGATGGTTTTTCGAGTGGTGGTCTTGGCTGTACTTTTTCACTTCGACCTATATTTGGAAACATACAGTAATACAGCACTAAAATATTCATTTCCCACTCTACAAATATCAACTTCTCAGTGTACTCTTAATGATTTTTTTACTGTAGCAGAGACTAGCTAGCACTCACCAATGCAGTAATCACCAGACTCAATCCTATTCAGAGCAAGTTTAGAAGAACAGCAAGGGTTGTCAAGAAACTTTTTGTATGTGTGTTTACCTGACGGTATGTTGAGACTTAGTTCAGACTTGAATCTTTCTTCTTTTGTGTTTGCAGATGTGCTGCTCTTCCTGGCGGTAAGCGGAGGAGGTCCGATAACCTTAGACCCGAAAGCAATATGGGATGAGTCTCGAGGTGTAGGACCTTTGGTGATGGATGCCTTGATGCCACTGGTGTCTTCTAGAACACATACATACAAAACACTTACGAAAGCTTTACTTCATTAACATACATTAGTTAACAAAATGTTTTCTGAGGGTAGTTTATTTGTTGCCTGTATACAGTTAATTTGGTAACGCTTTAAAATAATATTCCATTAGTTTATGTATTTATTAAGATGAACAAACAATTAGTTATGCATTAACTATGGTATTTATTCATGTTACTTCATGTTAAAAGCTCAATAACTAATGTTAACAAGCACAACTTTGGAATTTAACAACGCCTTAGTAAATGTTGAACTATGATTATTCAATGCTTTACAAGATTACTCAAATTAAGTTAGTTAATACATTGACTAATGGATCATTATTCTAAAGAGTTACTGTAAAATGTAATGAAATGTTTTATTCTTTTTCAAATTCTTTTTTGAAAGACTTTTCCACAGTATGTCCTATTATAGAGTTCGGCTTGTTTCTTTTAATTTAGCTGGAATAAAATCAGCTTTTATTTATTTTTAAAAATAATTAGTAATTATTAAAACCCGTAAGAAATTATTATTTTTTTTTATTGTTATCCAGTGACTTAATAAACCAACTTGCCTAGTTAACATAATTAGTTAAGCATTTAACCCTTTAATTGCCCCACCAAGAAAAAAAATGGATTGCATTTCTTAACTCCTAATGCCACTAGTTAACAACACAGTTTGTTTGTCAACACATCCCATAATTTCTAAAATATCAACCTCTACCAAATGGTTGATATGTCGGTTTATGGTAAGGGTAAGTAAAGGTAGGTAAGTATGTAAAGGTTTATTTACATAGCACATTTCCCAGACATTAAGTCATAAAGTGCTTTACAATAAGAGAAAACAAGTAAAAGAAATCATTAAAAGAAAACATGTTAAAACATATTAAAACAAGTTAAAAATACTGGAATAAATACATCTGATAAGAAAAATATGAAAATATGATGTGTAAGACCAATTTATTTTAAAAAATATTAAAAAGAAAACATTTTTGAACACTAAATCCTATTTATTTTTTGAAGCAGGTCATAAAATATTTCAGATTCTCAATTAACATGTTTTTTTTTTTGTTTGTTTGCTTTTAAATGTTCTTTTGTTGTTGTTGTTGTTGTTGTTGTTGTTTTTACAATAAAGCCAAAATTATGTGCATTAGTGCAACAGGAATATGTTTGTTGAATTTTCTTGTAAACCAACAATGCTGCGTGTGTGAGCCATTATTGAAACAGTCATTCTTTAAATAACTTTAACAGTCATTATATTTAGAACAGTGAAAATATTGTCAACCACTTGGTATAGAGCAGGCAATTAAAGGGTTAAAATGCATTTTAAGCTTAAAATTAGTATCTTGCAAAAAAAACTTGTCAAAACTCTGTCATCATTACAAAGACAAAAGAAATGAGTTATTAGAAATTAATTATTAAAACTATTATGTTTAACAATGTGTTAAAAAAAGTTTCTTCTTTAAGCAGCACTTGGAATATTAAATAATAATAAAAATTTAACAGGATAGCTAATCATTTTTCAACTGTACATCTTTACATTATACAGTATGTTTTGCTCCACATACAGAGTTTGTTCATAAAATGAAGACTTTAAATAGCACAATAAAACTAATATTTATTTGCATTTAATTAATTACCTCACTGATTTATAAAGTTTTGTGTTACTTTTTAGCCACATAAACATGAGCAACTGTGTTTCTTTTATTTATTTTTTTATTAGTTTGGGTTTGAATACAATTCACTAAGAGCACTGTATTATACAGCGGGGAAAGTATTGAAGTATTGAACACATAGGTGCTGTTGACTTAAAATTGTCACCTGATTTTAACAACCAAAGAAATACATATATGCACAAAAAACAAATCTAGTTAGGTTACAAATGAAGTTACGCGTAATAAAAAGAAACGACGCAGGGAAATTGTATTGAACACATGAAGAAAGGGAGGTATAAAAAGGCAGTGAAAGCCCAGACAGCAGCCAAAATCTCTCAGTAGTTATTCAGCAACCCTCATCCCTTCGTTAGTGTAAATTAATATTAGCTGGTTCAGTCCAACACCTACATTATCAGGATGATTAAGATGAAACCAGGCTGGACGTTTCAGCAAGAAAATGATCCAAAACACAGCCAGGGAAACTCTCAAATGCTTTCAGAGAAAGAAAATCAAGCTGTAGAATGGCCCAGCCAATCACCTGACTTGAATTCAATAGAAAATACAAAATAAAGATCAGATTTGATAGACAAGACCCTCAGAACCAATCAAGATTTTTACACTCTGTTGAAAAACTCACACCTGAGCAATGTATGAGCCTACACTCTCAAAACAGCCTTTTATATAAAGTAATAAATATGTTTCAGTATTTTAGTACTTTACTTGTGTCGTTCCATTGTTATTACACATAACCCATTTTTCAGATTGTTTTTGGTCTTGTTTTATTTTTATTTTTGTATTGTTTGGGTTTTTACCAAAATCTGGTTCAATTCCATGTCAACAGCTCCTTTAGAAATATTATTTCCAGGAAAAAAAATTATGTGTTCAATACTTATTTTCCCTGTTGTATTTTATAAAATAGTTCTTTCTGGTGCTCAAATCGGACTGAGAGTCCTGTCCAACATTCTAGGTCACAAAAAAGCAATCTTTCAACTTCTTCACTGAATCAATTTATGGAATTATTTATTTTATAAGCCAGGCATTACATTAAAATGCATCAGGAGATAGGCGAACATTCATGAATAGTTTGCTTTTGTAACGTCCTTAACTTTAAAATAAGTCAAGCAGGATTTCTATTCAGAGGTAAAGTTTGTTGTGGCCCGATTCAAAGTGCCAAACAAAGCGATTAAGTGTTAAATCACTCAAGCAATATCATTTGAATTTAGACTAACAATATCACGACATTCTCTATTACAAAGCGACTGCTTTCAAATTCATAATCCTTGCAATCATGAGGCCCTTGCCATCTGTTGGTTTGGAACTGGCATATTTTCAATTGTTATTTAGCGCGATGCCGCAAGATGAAGCAGTGTTAAGGTCATGGCAACCTGGAAACAAAACACAAAATACTGCCATTTGTCATTTCAGTATAACAGCCAGCTCAGGATCCAAGGCTGAAAGCTACAGTTTCATACACACACACACAGTGTTTTGATACACTGTTGCTAGGTGATGAAACCGAGGATAAAAAATGATTAATATAGAACGAGACACTGCGTCTTTTGGTGCAATATGTGCATATGTAGAAACATTTATGTGATCTCATTACCGTCCAACACTTCTTGTTAGTGATTGACCTCTTCTTTGTATTTATATATCGCTAGGACAATGTTTGAGTGTTTTTTGGTGAAGCTTACAGTGAGATGACAGCAGTCTGGCACTATGAGATGAGGCCAACAGATGTCTGGATAAATAAAAAGCGTAAGAACAGCTATGAAGGTCTCACTGGGCTGGCACGGTGGACAGGTATGTGACTAAAGAGAGATGATTAGAGCTCTCTTGGCAAGAGGTGTCTCTTGTCAGCAAACTAACAGACAGCAAATAGCAGGAGACTTGTGCTGAGGGGTCTGACCTTCTGTTTAGCAAAGAACTGGAGAAAAGCACTGAACTTTATGACTCCGTTCAGTTAGACACTCAAAAAGAATTGTAAGACTATTAATAGAAATCAATGTCGAAGAGTAAAGCAGTTGAATTTGGAGTGTGCTGCATTTATAGTCTGTGATAATATCGCAATTGTTCTTTATAGAAAATGGTAAAAAACATCTCAAAGTAGAATGCAGTTAGGATGAACCTATAATTTAAGATATAGGATACACTTTTTCCTCTTGTATCCACCAGGCACTTTGTTAGAAACACTACTATGTTTTTGTTTATACAGATATCTCTGTTATATATTTTATGCTTTTACAGTTGGGGAAGTAAGTACTCGACATGTCATCATTTTTCTCAAAAAACATATTTAGGTGCCGTTTACTTGCAATTTTGAAAACATCCAAAAAATTCATGTATGCAAAGAAAACAAATCTAAATAGTTTACAAATCAAGTTGTGTGTAATTGTCAAGATAACCAGCGATCATTCTCCAGAGATCGCTGGTTCTCACACAATATCCATGGACTACACTTCCGCCTTCTCTTGGACTACATATTCATACATGCTCTCCGTTCACACTCACACATGCTCACTCATGTAGACTGATTACATTCTCACCACCTGAGCCTTGTCAGAGACTGATTGCACTCATTACTTAAGCCACTCATTCACCTTTCCAGTGGGCCGAGTCTTGTTTGCTATCAGTGACATTACAACGTGTTTCTCCTTGTCTTGTTTCCCGTGTTTAGACCTTAGCCTTGTTTATCCGTTATACGTATTCGAGCGTTTTTTGTTTTCACGGATCCGCGAAAGGCCGCTGTGCGCGCTTCTTCGCATCTCGGGCGTCTCTCGGGAGCGTGCGCCGTTCGCGCCCGCGCTGTTCTCGCGCGAAAGAACCGACCCGGCCACCCTCCTCCTCCTCCTTCTTCCCTAAACCCGAGCGACGGTTTGCAAAAGCCGTTCAGAAAAAAAGAAAAAAAAGCAAAAGCCCTCGTCTTCGATTATGACCAAATTTTCGGATCCCGCCGCGTTCCCGCCCTTATTTTTCGGATTCCGTTTTTCGTCTTACCTGATTTCTGGAACCGCTGTTCCCCGGACTTGATCCCGGTCGTCGTCCCCTCGGCCAGCTCCTCCTCCGGGGCCTCCGCTCCGCCGATGCAACGCTGTAAGCTAAGCGGACAAACTGGTTGCATCGGGAAAGCCCTCCACTCGGAGGCGAGCCGTCGGCCGCCGAGCGCGAAGAGGAGGAGCGGAGTGGCGCCACACCAAAAACAAAACTAAAAACTAAACGTGTCCGTACGTACCTCCGGTCACGTAAATTGCGGTCTCAAGAAACGTCCACGGGGCTATGTTTCCAGAATGAGCTTGGGTTGGATTTGACCATTGCTTGCTTGACATTGAATAAACCTGCATATTGGATCTTACCTCCAGTTGTGTGTGTCACCCCCGTCGTTACAGTAATAAAATGAAATGACACAGGAAAACAGTTTTGAACAAATGACAAAAGGGAGCTATAAAAGGGCAGTGAAAGCCCAGACAGCAGCTAAAATCTCCCAGTAGTTTTTCAGCAACTCTCTGCCCTTCGTCAGTGTAAATTCATATTAGCTGCTTCAGTCCAACACCTACATTATCATGATGATTAAGATAAAACCATAGTGGACATTTCAGCAAGACAATGATCCAAAACAGTCAAGGAAACTCTCAAATTGTTTCAGAGAAAGAAAATCAAGCTGTAGAATGGCCCACCCAATCACCTGATTTGAGTCCAATAGAGAATACAAATAAAGACCAGTTTGGAAAGACAAAACCCACAGAACCATGAAGTTTTTACTCTCTGTTGAAGTCTGTGGAAACACTCACACCTGAGCAATGCATGTAATTTCATTCTACATATGAGAGACATCTTTAGGCTGCCATAGACAGTCTTTGAATATTTTAATATTTGCTTTTAGTTTCTATTGCATAACTTCTATTTCTCCACAATTTATATTCTACTGTTATTATTATATATTTTTTGTTATTATTTTAAGGCCATGAGTGGTTGTGTAAGCATTTCACTGCATATCATACTGTGTATCACTCTGTATGTCACAAATAAAAGTTGAATTTGATTTATGAAAGTCATTTTCTTTTAAATATTGTAATATGATATATAGTTGTAATATGGGAAATATAGCAGTGTGTAGTAGTATCATGACACAAAAGTGTGGCATTTTCCCCAAATATCAGAGCAAATTTGATTGTATACAACAGTTTAACAAGTAATATTAATATCAGGCAAGTTATTATATATTATAGACACATCTACTTTTCTGTATCGCTAATGATAATACTTCCAAACAAAGCCAGAGCATACCATTTGTGTGTCCCACCACTGCTGTGCTTCGTTTACACAATTAATGATTAGAGTCATTTGAGTCAACGATTCAGTGATTCAGTCATGTAAACAAACGATTCAATAAATCACTTATTAAAAAAGAGATTTCATGCATTACTAAACTGGCACAATAAAAACACATAATAATAGAAATTCACAAAAATACAGATATATTATGTTTTGTCATTATTAATTACTGCCCTCATTTGCATACTAAATATTTGAAAACCTGTCATAAATCCAAACACTAATATATATTTTTTTGCTATTTATTTATTTATTTATTTTTATTTATTTATTAATTCGTTTGTTTTGGTTATTTATGCATTTATTTATTGTGATTGTGGTTGTTGAATAAATGAATTTAGACAATCTTTGTACCATAAACTCTAGTTGATGAATATAATTTGGGATCATCGCTATTAAAGGTGATGCAGTGGCACAGTAGGTAGTGCTGTCGCCTCACAGCAAGAAGGTCGCTGGTTTGAGCCTCAGCTGGGTCAGTTGGCATTTCTGTGTGGAGTTTGCATGTTCTCCCTGTGTCCGCATGGGTTTCCTCCAGGTGCTCTGGTTTCCCCCACAATTTAGTAAGCTAAATTGTCCATAGGGTATGAGTTTGAATAAATGTGCATGGATGTTTCCCAGAGATGGGTTGCAGCTGGAAGGGTAACTGCTGTGTAAAACAAATGTTGGATAAGTTGGTGGTTCGTTCCGCTGTGGTGACCGTAGATTAATAATCGGACTAAGCCGAAAAGAAAATTAATTAATTAATTATTGCTGTTCATATTTAAAAACTAGAAATTATTCACATATTCAACCTTTGAGTTTTATTAGTTTTCATAATATCGAATGTGTTTTGATTTTATATGTTTTGTTATGTTTTGTTAATTTAGAATATAAACATGGTAAAGTACAATTTAACTTCACGTTCTCAAGATTTTTGCCTATGGTAAAGTGCAATAATTATGTAATTTCTCAAATAACTGAGGATTTCTAGTCAACAAAAACTTTTACACAGGACTGAAGACTAAACTCACAAGACTAAAAAAAAAAAGAAATGGAATACTAGAATGTGGACTGACCGGTCTCTCCATTTGAAGATTCACTTTTTCCATCAGTTTGTCCCAGAGTTTTCATGTTCACCAGTTGGCTGACATGCTGAACTTCACAAGGAAACTGGCAGCTCCTGGGAATCTCTTCTTTTGGACCAGTTCTTATTTCTAAAATATGAAAAGTACAATGTTTTCAGGCAACGAAAAAGAGTGTCAGGAAGGTGCTTCACCAAGTCAAGAAACTTCTAGGCTAAAATGTCAAAAATAAAATATTGAGGCACCTTCTGTGAATTGTTGATCTACTTCTACATGGGGTCAGTGAAAGTAGGTGCTTAACTTTTAGACTTTCAACCAGGGTAAAACAAAATATTATATAAGCTTTTGTGTTCGATGTGAAGTTTGTTGTCAGTGTTTTTACAGTTAAACAGTATGTAATACAGTACAAATAAATATTAGATAACTTTATAAGATAAGAATTTACAAAAATGATATCATCAATACTAAACATATATTATTTTATAACATAATATAAATACATTCTTTAAATATGATATTATATGATATTATGTTATTTTAATATTAAGTGTTTTAAATGGATTGTTCTTTTTTCATATTGCTTATTATTTAGCTTATTATTTGTTTTGTTTTTATAAAGCAATTATTTTTTTCAATAAGCAATAATATATATAAATTATAAAAAATATATACAATAACTACCATTTTGGCTGAGCTTGATAAATGCAGTCAATATTACAGTCTGAGCAAATGTAATGGGATTTTTGCCTTTATCGTGCTGCAGCAAATGATTTTATTTCTTAGGAATCCCAGTTCATAAAAAAAATTATTATTCTTTTTTTTGTAACAGGAGCAATATCACACAGTCATATGTTTGCACACAAAATGTAGGGCACTGCTAAACATTACATTTATGGTAATACAAAAAAATATGGCAAAATCCTGATTTTTTTTTTTTTTTTCATTTAGTAACTACAGGTTTGAATGGCTGAGCTTGACAAATGCAGTCAATAATACAATCTTTGAGAAAATGAAATGAGATTTTTTCATTTACCATGCTGCAGAAAATGACTTTCTTTCTAAGGAGTAACAATTTTATGGATTTATTAATTTATTTCTACATTTCTAAAGGGAGAAAATCATGCAGTAACAGGTTTGCACACAAAATGTGGGACACGGCTAAACATTAGGTTGGTTGTAATACAAAATTATTATTTTTTAAAACACAATTTTATGGATTTGCTGATTACATTTTTTTAATTATTATTAATAAAAGCACAATCACAAAGTAACAGTTTGCATAAAAAGTAGGCTGCAGCCAAATATTATGTTTCTAATATTAGATCATAGTTTATCTAACAAATCTAATTACCTCACTAAAAACAAGCCTCTAATGCTCTAATTAAAGTAATGTGAGACTAAAGTGTACCCTATTCATGAAAATAACCATTTTATGTAGAATAGTTGTTTTAAAAAGTGGCCCACACATTGCAGGACCAATTTTCCCCTAACCTCGATCTGTGAAGTCTGCAGGTTCATTCTTCATGGTGAAGATGCGGCGAACTTTACAGCAGGCGGAGATGATGATGCCATCCAGAGACAAGAAGCGCGTCCCTCTGAATATCACAGCGGTGAGCGAGTCCAGATCGATACACAGATTACACCACTGCACACAGAAACTACTACCTTATCACACCTTAACAACAAAAGTTTTGGCTTATTTTTGTGGTCATTTCACAAAGTATGTCTCCGAGCTGCTCATATGCAGACTACATACTGTACACTGTACAGAGGAGATCAAAAAAGAGAAAAATTCATAAACAGAAATAATATAATCTTCATCATTCCAAATTTGATTTTTTTAGTTGGGACTTACTTACTATGCTAAGTGTTTTATAAAATAACAAAATAAAAAATAATAATAATAAAATTAAATTAAAAAAATATTTATAAAAAATATATATATTTATATGTACAGTTGATATATATACAGTGATTTTTCTTTTCTATTTTAAATATTAATTAATTTTTCCAATAATATTGTTTCTTCTGAAAGCCATAATTGTTTTATTTTGTCTAAAATAAAAGCAGTTTTTAATTTTTTAAAGCCATTTTAAGGTCAATATTATTGACCCACTTAAGCATTTTTTTTTCAATTGTCTATACCAGAACAGAACACTGTTATAAAACGATTTGCCTTATCACCTAACTTGCCTAATTAACCTAGTTAAACCTTTAAACTGCACTTTAGGCTGAATACTATAGTGTGCTGGAAATTATCTGGTAACATATTATTTACTGTCATCATAGCAAAAAATATGGCAAAAAAAAAGAAATCAGTTATTAGAGATTATTAAAACTATTATGTTCAGAAATGTGTTGAAAAAAATCTTTCGGTTAAAAGGAAAATGGAGGAAAAATATACTGGGTGCTATTAATTCAGGAGGGCTAATAATTCTGACTTCAACTGTATATATATTTTATAATATTTATAAAACAGTAAGGACTGTAAAACAAACAAAATGTACAACTAAAATTCAATTCAATTCAATTCATCTTTATTTGTATAGCGTTTTTACGATGTAGATTGTGTCAAAGCAGCTTCACATAAATGGTCATAGTAACTGGATCAGGGTAGTTTAGTTTTTACTGTTTAAGTTCAGTTCAGTTTAGCTCAGTTCAGTGTGGTTTGAAATCATTACTGAGAGTCCAAACACTGAAGAGCAAATTCATAAATTATATGAATGTTAGCTGCAAGCAGCAATTAAGGGTTCAGAATTACCAAAGCACTCCAGAGACAGATTACAACTGAAATTTCTGAAGGTTATAGCAGTTACAGACATAGCCTCTCACAGACATCACTAGTTTCTACCAAGGGAGTGAATCAGCTTCATTTGTCCACTCCAGCACTTATATGTCCCAGAATACGATGCGATTGTGATGTCACAACATTGTATTTCCCAAGTGCTCAAGGGGTTGGGGCATTCCATTGATAAACATTCAGATATTTGCCAGCAGTGGACACTTATGTGACGTAATCAATGGCGTACATCTGAGGGGACAAGATGGAGGGAAGTTAGAGGGTGAAGGCCCTAAACAATTGGACTGGAACGCAGCCTAGTCTCTCACAGATATCACTAGTCTCTTACAAGGCATCACTAATCTCTCACACACATCCAGATATTTTCATTAAGGTTCATAACAGGACTCTGAAATGCCATTTCAATATTTTAATGTTTTCAGCTTTAAGAAACTGCTTTACACATTTTACTGTGTGACAGGGTTCATTGCCCTGCATAAAAAAAAATGAATGTCTGATTGGGTGATGAACCTAGTGAAGGAACCATATGCAGGTGTTTCTCTGATTTTGATCTCCACTGTTGTTGATGTTCATCTAGACTTACAGTATCGCGGTTGTGGCATGTTAGAGGTATTCTCGCATGCAAAGGAGTTGCAGAGAGCTCTTTATGAACAGTCGACAAGTAGAGTCTCCTCTTTAGATGCTCCTCATCAGTCACTCTAGAAGACAGCATTGAAAAGATAACTAAAAGCTTTCTCTATGAAGCAGACAGAAAGATTTTTAACCATGTTCTTGTATATGTGTGTATGTGTAGAGGAAGGTGTAGGAGTGGCATCTGCATGCGTGAACGTGTGAATTAATTCACCCTCTATGGTAATAAATTCTCTACACTTTCTCTGAATGTCAACTACGCTATAGCAGCTCATCAAGATTTCAGTAGCTTGAGGTCGGATGGAAACTTTTAACAATGAGGCTAATTTAAATTAATTAAAACAATGGTGGCACTTACAGAAACTCAGCTGAAAAGTCTTTTCCCAATGGTATGTTGACCTGTAGAATCAGAAACTTCTGAATCAGACCAACTGTAGGAACAAAAAGCATGAGATTAGAGGATGCGAAAGAGATATACAGACATCAGACATCTATAAATCTACATAAACAGAAATCTATAAATGGTGATTAGTCCATCAATCTACATCCAGCAACATGTTTTTGTGATTGACTAATCAATTGGATTTGTCTTTATATACATATTCTTTTTGGCTTGGTCCCTTTAATAATCTGGGGTCGCCACAGTGGAATGAACTGCCAATGTATCCAGCATTTGTATTATGCAATGGATGCCCTTTCAGTTACAACTGATCTCTGGGAAACATCCATATATACTCATTCACACACATACACTACGGACATTTTAGTCTACCCAATTCACTTGTACCGCATATTTTTGGACTGTGAGGGAAACCGGAGCATGCGGAGGAAACCCACACAAACGCAGGGAGAACATGCAAACTCCACACAGAAATGCCAACTGACCCAGCTAAGGCTCGAACCACATACGCACACAATTGCAATCAGAATTATTAAACCCTCTTTGAATAGTTTTTCTCTTTTAAATATTTCGCATTATTATCATTAAATGATGTTTAACAAGGGAAATTTTCACAGTATGTCTGATAATATTTTTTCTTCAGGAGAAAGTCTTATAAGTATATTGTTTTTTTAATAACTAACAAAAAATATAATTTTAATATTTGAAATATAGATTGTAGCTACAAATTTTACTTCAAGATAATTTATTTTAAGATCCTCCGTATTTTTAGATGTCTGTATTTAGCTTCTTATGTTATAGAATTTTATTTTAATTCACTTATTTGTTCAATCAAGGTCGATTTTTGGTCATTCTATGGAATCAATGCTCTCCGCACAGTTCTATTAATGAACACTTCTTTGAATTTGCGCATGCTCATGTTGGTATCAGATTTGAGAGTATCGAGCCAAGGAGTTCTTGGGCGGACTTTTAATTAACAGGTTCAGTTCTTCGTGATTAACCTTTCATTCATAATAATATCTATAATATATTCTGTAAAATAACAGAAACGGTACTTTTAGTTTACTAATAATTTACAACACCAACCCAGACAATATATCGCCATTAATAAGGTCAATACAAGTCACTTTTTTTTTTACTTTTCAACTTCAACAAAAGATTATGGTTTTATAATGCAATTCAAAAGCATTAAAAAAACACAAATTAATTTACAGGTTTTTTTTACAATGTTGATTATTGCAGTAACACAAATAACCAACTATAAAAGTGCTAATAATATGTGTTTGGTAGTTGTGTTTATGCATAAAGTTTTGTTAAAAAATCTAAAATAGTAATAGTTCTGTTTAATGTCCTCTTTAAAACCTTTGTCCAAGGTAAAGGTTTCTTATATGTTAAAACATTGTAATGGACCCGCAGATGACATTGAAGAACCTCGAAGCCCAAGAGCCCTGTGATGTGTCTGATTTATTCTGTTTAAACAGCACTCACGAGTCATCTTGCTGTCCTTAGGTAACTGCATCTTGTGTGTTTGACTGTTGCCTTCAAGACTGTACACGAAACCCTTCACTTCTTTATCAAACACCTGTTAAAGTACAGAAAATAATCAATAAAAAGTAATATTCCTCCTTTTCAGAAGGCTGATGGATTTCTGCAGATTCTTTATTGTCGAAGATACAAGCAATATACTGGGTGCTTTTGTGGCATTGGTTTAGTGCTGCTACTTGTGTTATCTTATATAAAATGAAGACCATTCTCCAATTCACTCTGAGATTATTTACAGGAGAGACTCTGCCACGCAAACAACATCTGTATGAAATGATGCCTTTTTTCCTCCAGTGAATACTCTTCTTTTCTTTTCTTTTTATGAAGGCCAACTTTAGGGATATGCCTCAGAGTCTTGCAAAAATAAATAACTAAATAAATTTCACCATTATTTCTCAGGAAAAAAAGGATACGCTTCACAGAACACATGTTGACTTTTTTTAAACTGCTTTTTAAGGTAGAGTAAAATATGCACAGCACATATAATTACATTGACATTTATGTCGAAATATTTTGCATTTATTTTCTGAGTTGAAAACAATTTCCTTTTTCGTTAATGCAAAAAGCTGTCATTATTGAAACACACATACTTTAGTTATTGAAGGTTTCCGGCCATATAGTTTCCATTTTGCCACAGGATCTTTTCCTTGTGCACTGAAGATGTCAACCGTGAGACCACCCTACACACACACACGCACGCGTGCGCGCACGCACACACACTATGAAAACACCGAAAAGAAGAAGTGCCTGTTAATGAATGTGTTCTGTGCTTACTTTAGCCTACCTGGTAATCGTTCCTGAACATGCTTCAAAAGATTTAGTTTGAATAGTGAAGGTCACTTTATTTCTGTCGTATTCAGATCGAGCAAAAGATGATTCATAGCCACTGTTGCACACAATGACGGTTATACAAACCACATCAGCTATTATTTGCTGCATGGACGAGCGCAAAACATTTTAACCACGTTCATCCAGCAATACGAACATCAGTCGTCTATGTTAGATCTGTAGAGTCTTGAAGAAGTTGTAAAAGCGCTTCTTTACTTACTAATTTAGACAGATAGTTAACGTTAGCTGGTTAGCTAGAGAGAAAAAACACAAGCAAGTGCAGCGGCAGGTCGTTTCTATGGCAACGGGACGCTATAACTGTGGCGACAGTCTGTTTCAGGCTGTGCTAACCTGTAATGCGGGTATGAAGAAGAATATTATAAGAATAAGATTAAAAGAACGTCGTATAATTGTTTTTATGAGTTTATATTTCATTGTTACACATAATTAATTTTTAAGATTAATTTTTATTTACTCTCTTTATTTACATGACTATACAGGACCCACATTACAGCTATGGAAAACAAATACCACTTAAAAATGGTCAGATTTTCTGGATTTGTTTATTCTGTAAACTACTTATGGCATTTCTTTGTTTTTGCATTAAGGTGCTTGTTTACAACATTTATAACTTATTCACAACAAAATGTCAATGTTTTCACTGACCAATTGTAATAATGATAAATAATAATGCTAATTTGGAAGAATTGTTTACAGAACTTTGCATGATTAAACTGTTAACACTGTTGCAGTGCTCAGCATAATTGAGTACACCCCATTTTGAAAATGAACATTTTATCAATTTCTCAGTAATATAGGCAGTGTTTTTTGGTGCACAAAAACAAAAACGATTTATTAAACATATTTATTAATTAAAATAATATTTTAGTCATATTTAGAAATTGAAAGATAATTCAATTAAATTCAAGGAAACAATTATAAAATATATTACAACCTGCACAATTTTAACAAAACTTTTTTTTTTTTTTGCATTTTTTCTCTTTCTTAAAATAAGTATTTAGTATTTTCCTATAACAACATATATGATTTTGGACTGTAATCATAAGTTTAATTTTGTTAGATAAGCTCCAGATTTTGCTTCAGTATACTGACTAATCTTTATAGTCTCAAATATTATAGCTTTGTATTAAAAATTTGTGAGGGGTGTACTTATATGCTGAGCACTGTATAATTACCACATGTAGAAAGAAGCTGATTCAGTTTTTTACATATAAACCTTTAGGCTACAACTTCCATCTTTTATTTATTTTGTTGCATTTAAATATTTCTACTATATTTTTTTCACCAGAAGTCTGAATTGGCTTTTAGATTAAAGACTGTTATCACACCTACAAAACAGTCTGGTAATCTTCTGTAAGCAAACGAAAGAAATGTACACATTTACAGTGACATAGCAGGAAATTACTTTTTTTTTTCTTCAATATGCTATATTGCATTTAATGAAATTATACTACACACACATTAACCATGAATATGCACTAACATTCAGCATCATGATGTACATTATATACATATATTTAATAAATATATATGAAGACCTACAAATTTGTATTTTTTAAATCATTATTACAAATTTTTACAACAAACAAACATGTGTTTTAATACATTTATAACCGTGTGTGTATTTTCGTCATGCTTTTTAGAAACGCACTAAACTAAAACCCCACTAAATTTTGCGATCTATAATCCATAATAATAACTCCTGGATAGCAGTCCCACAACATTCTGTCACTCGATTACACTCGAATACCCTGTCAGCAGGGGTGTTGCTAGACATAAAGCTCTACTGGGGCACAGTTCCCCCTCAAAAATAAATTCATTAATAAAAAAAGAAAATATATCTATAATATAAATAATTCTATATCTTTTATAAAAAATTATATATATATATATATATATATATATATATATATATATATATATATATATATATATATATATATATATATATATATATATTATGTATATATATATATATGTATATGTATAAAAATAAAAACATACACACACACAACTAAATAACAGTATTGTTATTATATAACTATTATTCTAAATAAATAACAGAAATGAATCCTTAATGTAACTGAAAAACAATCTAAAGACACAATTAGAGTGATGCTATGATAATTTAAGAAATTTTTTACATAAATATTAATTTCATTTAAATAAAATTCTCTAGACAATTCTATAGAATACAAAAATATGTTTCATAAAATAATCTGTTGTGTGTTTTCTTTGACCCCCTCCCTGAATCATCATCCCTCCTGTTTCCTTCATACAAATACTCTATCAGGAGCCATGCTTATTCTAAATAAGATCACCATCATATTATTTAAACTTTGTTTTGTCGACTTGCAAAACTCACTGCATGAGGCACCTCCACATAAAAGACTGTTACGCCGGTTTCACAATTAACACATGAATATGACTCTGGTGTAAATGCAGAGTACAGTTACGATCTCATTGCCAAATTATATCATTATGATAACATAATATATGCCTTCAGTGATTTCTTGAAGATAAACATAAAAAGTAACGTAACTGTAATAACTACAGCAGTGACAGTGGTCAATATCATCTTTTGTTTTTCTCGGTCGTCAATATCATATGAAGCAAGAGATCGCGATGATGAAATGTGCAGGTGTTGTTGTGCTGTCCCATTTCTTAGGGTTAAATTTTGAAGCTCTTCCCCTTCTCACTCTGTTTCAAGGACCAAGGTGAAGGGGTATACAAATAGAATTAGGATTATGTGTAATATAATAATGCCTCTCGTACATTGCCTTAATATGTTTTGGGAGAAGCCTGTCATTTCCAGTAAAATAAAAATGAATTGCTGTTTGACTAAAAGTATATGTAACTTGAACTTTATATAACTTTAGGAATTCAACAAAGTCAAAAAAAAAAAAGAAAAATAAATAAACAGATAATTATTTAGATAAACAAACAAATACAAGTTGGACTGCAAAACAAACGAAATGCTCCAACTCAAGGTCAAAAAGCTGTGTACTCCCAGTCAGCCACACCTCCAACCAGCCACCTTCCTATTTATAGACCTTTTGACCTGCAGGGGGTACAAACTCTCAGAAAAAGAAAAAAAAAAGAAAAGACAATCAATTAATAAATCAATAAATCAATAAATAAAGAAAGAAAGAAAGAAAGAAAGAAAGAAAGAAAGAAAGAAAGAAAAAGAAAGAAAGAAAGAAAGAAAGAAAGAAAGAAAGAAAGAAAAAGGATTAGCCAATATAAATAGCTCCTTTAGGTATATCACATTTGTAAAGTTAAACCAAATGGGACACCACAACATAAAACCATATAGCCTGATCTTGGGCTTTCCATGGTATTGTGCAGGGCCGGAGTGGGACACCTTTTCAGCTCTGGAGTTTCAAGCCTTAGACCGGCCCACCTCAGTTCACAACTGACTATATTAAAACAAAGTCATTTCCAAATCTGTTTCTAATGACACTATCACGTCTTTTTTTTTTTTTTTTTGAGAAAACAGCTGCTTTAGAACTTCAAATGTTCAACAACCCTAACAGTATTATATTTCTTAACAATAAAAATGAAAACAATAAATTGCTCTGTCAAGGATCAAACCCGGGTCCGCGGCGTAATTGACTGAAGTGCTAACCGCTGGACCACAACAGGTGATTACAGAAAGGAAATAATGAATAAAAAGGCTGTGGTCAAGTAAATAAATACATTTAAAAAGTGTGACTGCTGAGAGCAACAGATTCTGGAGCTAGGGACACCGGACCTCGCGGCCAAAAAACGGACCGGCCCACCGGGAATTCTCCCGGTCCTCCCGATTAGCCAATCCGGGCCTGGTATCGTGACCTTTGCTTACTGTTTAATTAATGGGAATTCATATGAAGCAGCTGTCATGGTTAATCAGCCCCTTTTCACTTTTGCAGAATGTCTTGAACGTAAAGACAGAAAGTACTGTATTCTAGAGAATTTTGAATGACAGTGCAATTGCGACAGTTAAAAAAAGCATCTTCCCCCAAAAATCTTTCAACACCTTCGACTCTTCTTCGACTGCTTAAAGTACATTGTGAATCATTCATCATTGTTGAATGCTGAATGTCAGATGCATGCCTTCTGGTAAGTCAAAGATTAAACTTTCAGCATTTTACCCCATGACTCCACACC